CATTTAACTATAATTTTTAGAGTTGTTATACTGGTTTAAATTTCTTTATTTGTTCTTAAGCCAAGAGGCTAAGATTAGTGGAATCAGTTAACAAGGACTGACTCTGTTCACTGTGTCCCATACTGTATCAGTGAATGCATTAAAAAAAGAAAGAAAGAAAACATCCTGGTATCAAATAATTCATAAATGATTGACAGAGTGAAAGCCAACATAATCTGAAACAAATAGAGAACAATGGTTCAAAAAAGAAAGGTGGGAGGGGCTAGAGTGCTTTAGTTAAATGACCAGTCGGTATTGTGTATAAAGATGAATAGCCTCTTTATAGTTTCTTCCTGCCATTTCCTATTCTATTTTTATGTTAGAAATGAAATCTTCAATATCTGAAAATGTAATACTGAAATTAAGCAATATTCTGAGAATTTTTCTTTAGCTAAAACACTGTAGTACCTGTGTATCAGTATTACATCATTGAAGTAAGATCTACTTCCACATTTAAATTTATGTATTAAATACAAATTTTATTTTTAACATTTAGTGTTAATAGCACTGGTGTGCGATAAGATGAAATTCAAACAGATCAGACAGTCTCAGAATTTAAGCATATGTTCCATGTCTGTGAGTAGGTGATATCTAGAATGGGTGATAGGTACATTTGTTGGCTTTTAAAGTGTGCAACTGTTTGCTTCCACTAAGGCAGCATCTATATACTGGATTGAACTTGTCTGCTAACTTTAGCAAGAAGCTGTGGCGAGGCATAGTTAGCATAATACAGATGACTGTCGTCGTTGCTGTTTTTAGCTGAAGCAGTATGTCTGACTGGCTAGCATCTGTTTTCTCTCCTTGTCATAATATGCTGGAGACAGTTCAATTTTTAAAATGCAGGTAGCCCTCAAGTAAACATTAATCGATATGTTAAAATCATGACCAAATAATGTCATTTGGACTGAAGGATAATTTTCAGACTTCATTTAACTGAGGAGTTAATTTTCTAGAAATGACCAGCCACCGTGAATTTTTCTCTTACCTCATTCGACATGGTTTGCACGTGACCCCTACAAAAGAAGAATTTGTTTTTATGGATTAGTAATTCTTTCTAACAGGTACATCGAAAAATCAGAGAAGATTCAGATATGGCACAGGATTCTCTACAGTGCCTTGCCCAGTTAGCTTCTCTGCATGGACCCATCTTCCCCGATGAAGGATCCCAGGTTGATTATCTAGCACACTTCATTGAGGGCTTGCTGAACACTATCAATGGGTAGGTATGCTTGTCCTTTTGAGCTGATGAGGGAACCTTCCTTTTTCCTCTGATATTTAATATGGAGGAAAAAAGAAACTAAAACTGTTTTGAAGTAAAGTTGTGTGACTAATTTGAAATTAATAGAGACATGCCTTTAAAAATGAATGGTGATATTTTGTGTTTGGAAATATAGCTTATCTTGCACTGCTTAATAATCCTCATGATTTGATTTGTAGAATTGAAATAGAAGATTCTGAAGCTGTGGGAATCTCCAGCATTATCAGCAATCTGATAACTGTGTTCCCTCGGAATGTTTTAACTGCCATCCCCAGTGAACTTTTCTCCTCCTTTGTTAACTGCCTCACACATCTCACTTGTTCTTTTGGGCGAAGTGCTGCGTTGGAAGAAGTGGTGAGTAACTATCTTACGATCTGTCTGTGTCTGCTTATCATAGGAAATTTGTGCTACCTTTAGAACATTGTCTTATGACACATTTTAATTGAGTACTAGTGACTTAAAATTATATTTTATATGTAAATTAGTGACAATGTTTATGGAAACATGACCTCTAAATTTTTGTATATTTAAATTAGTCTTGGAAATTATAATTTTGAGATAATTAGAATTAAATGTTTTTGTTAAATTATGTTGAATAGCCCATTTTACAGTGTTTAACAAGTCTACCAAGTACTGCAAAATAACTTCGTGGTTAGATGTAATTATGTGTAGTTAATTTTACCTATGTCATTTTGATATTTTTATTTAAGACTTACTTAGAAATTATGTGATGTGTATTATTTAAAAGTGTATTTTGGTAAGCCCTAATTTACATTCATATTAGAACTGATAATAATGCTAATGATTTTTGGGGGACAAGTACAAATTTTCAGATCCTTTCCAATTTTTATTTTTAACTTAAGGAAATATATACTAAAACCCCTTGACAACACAACTGTAATAGTGTGACTAGTAACTATAGTAATCATTAGAAAAAAATTGACAAAGTGGTGACTTAATTTTTGAAATTGTTTTTTTTTTTAGTTTAAAAGGAAGTTCTTTTTAAAACAATTTTAAGAGAGAAGTCACTATTTGTAGATACCTCTTAGAATTTCATGTTAAATCCTGAGTTTACATCTTACCCTGGCGATGTTTGGCAGTTTGTAAAGCTTCCAAGTGTTCAAAGAATCTGGGAATGATTGTGTTTATGTAATTAGGCTCTTAGGAGTTAATGAGAGGTTGTATGATGGAAAACTATACATTAGACATCATACATGGGGTTTACATTTCTCAGGATGGTAATTTCTGTTGAAGTTAAGTGTTTCAGCTTTAGTCAAATCCCTTTCATAGGCTCAGACTCAAGTGTGGTTTCATTTAACGTGGCTTCATTGTGATCTCCCTGATTTTTATCTTTGGAGTGAGATGGAATCAGGATTTAGCATGTTGATCATCTGTTTAGACACACCTTCAGCTTCTCCAAGATGGTTCTTATATTTAGCAGACTGGCTAGAAGATACATAATATTTTTGGTTTGAAAATTTTATCTTTGAAATTTACTTATTTTGAACATGAGGCTTTCTGTCAAAATTTGGTGTAGCAAAGTAGGAATATAAGAAGCTAGATCCATTTTCAGAGAAATGGGTATCTCTTAGGCTTTTCCATGAAAAGACATGCTGCGCTCAAAGTTAGGATTACCTAGTAAGTTTCATTGAAGAAAATAGCTGTTTATGTCTTTTAATTCTCTCAGTTTATCTGTTTGTATTTAACAGTTATTTTTAAAGGTAACCAACCAGCTACCAATTCTATAGGACAGACAGAAAAAGCTGAGGCTTTTGCATTAATTGTGGAGGGCACATTAGGGAGGCCTGGGGACATTGAAGGTTTGGGGTTGGCCCTGTCATGTGACTTGCATGATTGCTAAACAGATTTCCCTAAATGGCAGTTAAATCTCCATGTTTAGTCATCTTGTGCATCCGGGGGAATAGTCAGATAGTAACTGCAGGTCCTGAACAAATCCTTCCAAGACAGATTGATACAAGGATTGCCATAGGGTTCTTACTTAAGTCATCTTTTGTTTTCTTGGCTAGTTATTGTGGTACTAGTTCACAAAGCATACCTGTTGTCCTGAGATGGAAAACAAATAAACTTTTAAGGAAATTTTGGGAAAATTGAGCATATAGATAAACAGCTTTGGAGTCCACATGGTCTGGAATGATACTACATTTGGAAGGAGAGAGTGGTCACAGGCTGAGTGATCATAAACACCAGCTGTTTATGATGACCTTTGGATTACTTTTTCAACTTCATTTAGTATGTTTCCTCCTTGGCAAAATCAAGGCAACAATTTTTTTATGATGCTTTTTCCCCCTGGTTTGTCTGTCTGTTTTGTGGTGGGACAGGATGAGTTTTGAGAGGGTCTGAATATGTAACATGGGTCTCATTCTGTGTTCCTGCCTCTGAGTCTACCTCTGGGTGCCGGGGAAACAGATATGTGCTACCATCCCAGGCTTCCTTTGAGGGAAAAATGCCTGTTTGAGGCAAGCCTTTACTCAATGAGACTGAGCCTCAAAGGGGACTTTTTAAAACAGAGAGCAGCAATTACTTACTCTAGGAGATGGTGTTGGTGCATGTAGCTGTGTGGTATAACTTGACCTTCTGTTGTGGATGATTGATTGAGAAATCTCCCGACCCTGTGACTCTTGATAGCCAAGAATGCACACACTGATGACATTGTATCCCTGCCTATTCATCATGCTGACATTTCTTCAGCCTGCAGAATTATAGGAAAAGCTGAAAGGAGATACAGGGACATTTTTTTTAAGCTTTGCACATTGAAGGAATAATTCTTTCCAAAAATAATGCTAATATTGGCCCTATAAGAATATTTAGAAGAAAACTGTTAACTATTGCATCTTAAATACATATTAATAGGTAAAAGTACTTTAAGAATTCCTTGCAAAGCTAGGTGTGGTGGTGCATGGCCTTAATCCTACACTCAGGAGGTAAATGGGTTCCAGGACAGCTAGTGTTAACAAAAAATAATTACTTATTTGTTTAACTCAGGTTGGATCACAAATCTAACTATGCAATTTTTTTGGGGGGAGGGTTGTTTTTTGAGACATGATTTCTCTGTGTAACAGTTGTGACTGTCCTGGAACTAGCCCTGTAGACTTGGTTATGATTCAATTTTAATGTTTTAATTAGGTGTTTTAAGTCTTGCAAGAATGTATTGTGGCATTAGAGTAAAGCTTATTTACCATCTCAATGTTCCTTAATATGGTAGTTTTATTTTAAAATGCTTTATTTATTTTACGTGCATTGGTGTTTTGCCTGCATGTATGTCTGTGAGAGTGTCAAGTCTTTGGGAAGTGGAGTTAAAGACAGTTGTGAGCTGCCTTGTGTTTGCTGGAATTGAAAGCAGCCACTGCTCTTAACTGCTGAGCCATCTCTTTAGCCCCTCTGTCTTTAAAAAAAAAAATTGTTATTACCATATTTTACTTAAGTGATACACACTAGAAAAGAATCTAAATACAGCAGATGAATAACAACATAAAAAATATGGTTCTTTGAATCTTTGGTCTGTGGATGTGTTCGTTAGTGTTAGACTGTTTGATGCAAATGCTGTTTCGTGTGTCATTGTGCAGGGGGTTGTGCCAGTACGTATATATTTTAAATGTTATGAAATATTTTACTCATATGAAGTACACATTTTGTGTATAAATATAAAGATAGTATAGAGGGAACAACTCTGTATCACCCATTCATATTAAGGAAACAGTATACCAAGTGTGGCATGATGGCTCATGTTGTTCATCTCAGCACACAGAAGGCTAAGGCACCAAGATGGTAAGTTTGAGTTTCGTCAGGACTTGACAGCAAAGGAATAGTGTGTTGGTAGAGCCCCTTTCTCCCCTCCTGCTCCTGTGACCAGGTTTCTGTTATATAACTTGCTCTGCCAAATTGTCTTTTCATCATGTCTACAAGTGGATGCTGCTAGTGAATTTCCCAGCTGATGTACCTGGCACTTTATCTTACTCTCTGTCATCTGTGGTAGTTGACTTTCTCTATTCTCAACATTCTTATAGGCCGGAAATAGGAAATTCTGGAGTTCAGAAAGTCTAAGGAAGTGCTTAGAAGTTATCCTTAAATAGAAAATTCTTGGTGAAATTAATTGTTCACATCAATTTGGTTGCATATTTTAATGTACATGAACCATACTTACTTAGGAAAATAGTGGTGGTTTGAATAAAATAGCCTCTATAGACTCATGTGTTGAAGTACTTAGTCATCAAATGCCACTACTTGGGAGAGATGAGGAAGTATGTCACTAGGGGTGGGCTTTGATGTTTATAAAAGCACAAGCCAGGCCCAGTGGCTCTCTCTTCCTGCTGTCTGTGGATACAGATGTAGAACTCTTAGCTACTTCTACAGCACCATGTCTGCCAGCATGCTGTCATGCTCCCTACTGTAATAATGGACCAAACCTCTGAAACCATAAGCAAGCCCCAATTAACTGCTTTCTTTATAAGAGTTGCCGTGGTCACAGTGTCTCTTTATAGCAACAGAACATTAAGACTGGGAGTGTAGCTCAGAGTATGAGCAGCACCTGTCATGCTCAAGGCCCTGAGTTTATGCTCTATTACTGTGAAAATAGGGTGTGGGGGTGAATATAGGAAGTAAAAGACATTTGATATTTGATAGAAATTGCTTTCTAGCGTGGAAATGCCATCATCCAGGAGTCAAGGGCAGAAGATCTAGGCTAGCCTGGTCTACATAACAAGCTCTAAGACAGCTTCAGGGCTTCATAGAGAGACCCTCCCTCAAAAAAGAAGAAAGTGCTTTCTGATTTCATATCATGGGGGAGATTTGTAGTTGTCATGTTGTTTATTTACTCTCTGTGGGGAAAAGCACAGGGGTATGGGTTGTGAATAGTGTCATTATTATTATGGGTAGGTTTGGAATTGTTTGCAGATTATAAGTAAATTTGTAACTACCTCACTGTGGTGATATCTCTTGCTTGTACAAATAAAGCCTGTCTAAAGGTGAGAGAATGGATCTTGCCACTAGCTAACCATAAAGGTTTGAAGGTTTGTGCAGACAGACAGAAGTGAGGTAGCTGGGCGGAAACAAGATATAAGCAGGGAGAAACAGGAACTCGCTCACTTTCGTGTCTGCTGAGACGCTAAGGAGGTAAGGTGTGCCATACCTTGCTCCTTCCCTCTGATCTTTCAGCATTTTTCTCTATATCTGACTTGGGGTTTTTATTACTTAGATCAGTTAAGAACTTCATTTATATTTAGTGCCCAATGTGAAGCATGAACTCATGACCCTGAAATTAAGAGTCTCATGCTCTACCAACTGAGCTAGCCAGGCTGAAGCTGTGGGCCTGATTGGATGTGCCAGCTCTAGAAAGTGGCTAGGTCAGGGAGTGTGTCTCTTAGTCTAAATAAAAACTGGATCAAACCATCGAATTCAAAGAAAAAGGTTCTAAGGATTGTGTAACCTGCTGGTGCTGGGTGGAGGGGAGTAGCAGGGAAAATCAGGCTTAGGCAGCTTGACTGAGCCAGCCCATGGCAGCTGACAGCTTTCTTAGAGCCAGACTGGGGCCCTAGTGGGACAGTTTGCCCTGTCCTACCATAAATGTTCTGGCCACATGGGCACCAAAATGTAAATGGAGTTACATGGGTTCCATAGAGCTCATTTCTGGTGGTGTAAATTATTTATTTTTATTCATTTTTTTAGGCAGGTTCTAAATGTAGGTCTTTATGTAGACCTTGCTGTTCTGGAATTCACTATGTTGATCAGGCTGTCTTAGAACACACAGAGATCAACCTTACTCTGCCTCGTGAGTACAGGGATTAAAGGCTTACACCACCACCATGCAGCTCTAGTTGCTGATTTTTAATACAACATCTAAAATAGAAATGAGGGACTAGTGAGATGGCTTAGTGGGTATAGGTGGTTTGACTGCTGTAAAAATCCTGTGTGCCTCACCTGTTATCCTTCTACACCAGGCAGTGGGAACTACTGGGCGATG